GTGGCCTTGGAACTCCTCTTTTTCACCTACTTTGAATTGTCAGGACTTTTGTGTCTGCAGCGGCATTGGGTTTCGTTGGGTTTCATTCTGGGAAGGAATAAAAAGTCCATAGATGGAGTAAAGAACTGAGTAAAGGGCACTGGGATCACTGGGATTCCCTTTATGCCTGGCATGAACATTGGGTTGAATGATGAGCTGGTGGGGCCACTGTGCACTTGCCAACTTACATAACTGAGGTTGGAGGATAGATGGTGGCTAACAGATTGACATAAGTACTGAACAAGACATAAATACTGTTTTGGGGGACAGGAGGCAGGTGGGTGTGGAGGATTCCCTGCTCCTGAATGGGGTAACTGTGCCCCTGAAGGACCAGGTGCGCAGCCTGGGAGTAATTTTGGACTCGTAGCTGTCCATGGAGGCACAGGTCAGTTCTGTGTCCAGGGCAGCTGTCTACCAGCTCCATCTGCTACGCAGGCTGAGACCCTACCTGCCCGCGGACTGTCTCGCCAGAGTGGTGCATGCTGTGGTTATCTCCCGCTTGGACTACTGCAACGCACTCTACGTGGGGCTACATTTGAAGGTGACCCAGAAACTACAACTAATCCAGAATGCGGCAGATAGACTGGTGACTGGGAGCGGCTGCTGAGACCACATAACACTGGTCTTGAAAGACCTACATTGGCTCCCAGTATGTTTCCGAGCACAATTCAAAGTGTTGGTGCTGATCTTTAAAGCCCTAAATGGCCTCGGCCCAGGATACCTGAAAGAGCATCTCCAACCCCCTTGTTCAGCCCGGACACTGAGGTCCAGCACCAAGGGTCTTCTGCCGGTTCCCTCATTGTGAGAAGTGAGGTTACAGGGAACCAGGCAGAGGGCCTTCTTGGTAGTGGCACCTGCCCTGTGGAATGCCCTCCCATCAGATGTCAAGGAAATAAACTATCTGACTTTTAGAAGACGTCTGAAGGCAGCCCTGTTTAGGGAAGTTTTTAATAACTCATGTTTTATTGTATTTTTAATATTTTGTGAGGAGCCACCCAGAGTGGGTGGGGTATAAATGACTAATAATAATAATAATTGGAGCAACGAGAAAGAATTCCTCCTAATCCTTTTCTGTGGAGCCAAGAAGTAGAGAGTAACAAGGTTCCTGCTGTTTTAGGGAGCTTTCCTGCCCAGAGAATATTATGGTTTAACTAGTTTTACTTTGGTTTGCAGATCCTCTAGGCTGCTATAAATATAACCTTTCCCCCTTCACAATTCTTCATCTCGAGTCTTCTTTGTACACCCTTTTCTGTGAAACTCTGGGCAAAGTTTGCTTCATGCTGGTTTATAACTGCAGTGGGCACTCCAGCAGAGAATGAACCAAGGCTGGGTGGAATATTGGGCAGTCAAAGTTCCCCTTTCACACACTTGAATCAGCCTCTGATTGGGGAGGAGGGTTGCAAGTCTCCAGGAATGCAAGTCTGAACACGGCAGAATTCACGCAGAAGGCATTTTCCATTTGTTTAACAGCTCTCAGATTGGAGGAAGAAGAAGCATATCTCAGAAAAATAGAAAGCTAACATATACCCTTATAAGATCATCTAGTCCAATATTATAAACATTGGCTGTTGCAGATCTCCAGGTTTTTAGTTAGGAAGAGTCTTTCCTGTCTGGAGATACCAAGGATTGAACCTGCGACTTTTGACACATCCTGCATGTTTTCTATCACTGAGCTACAGCCCTTCAGCCCCAGGGCAGCTATAAACATTTCAGAATACAACCTATATTTTGTGTGTGTGTGCACAAACAGGTGTGCATGCTATCTAATTGTTTTTCTTATTTTAAATATTTATTACCAGCTCTTCATTGCAACAGGAATCCCGGAGCCGGTCATAAAATTTCAGACCAACCAAGTATCCCAGGCATCACCACCACAACTCATTTCTATAGCACTCTCGGTTTTGTCAAGGGCATTATACAATCTGTGCATCATGCATCTTTGCAACAAGCCTCTGAGGGAAGCCATTCGTATGACCATTTTACATGCCAGCAAACTGATCCTAAAGTCACTTTTATAGGTGACATGGTCTGATAATGTGCTGAATTAGGCATGCTTCAGCCTATTGGAGGGATGCAGGTTGCCCTGTGGGTTCAAATCCCTGTGACAGGGTGAGCTCCCGTTGCTCGGTCCCTGCTCTTGCCAACCTAGCAGTTCAAAAGCACGTCAAAGTGCAAGTAGATAAATAGGTACCACTCCGGCGGGAAGGTAAACGGCGTTTCCGTGTGCTGCTCTGGTTCGCCAGAAGCGGCTCAGTCATGCTGGCCCCATGACCCAGAAGCTGTACGCCGGCTCCCTCGGCCAGTAAAGCAAGATGAGCGCCGCAACCCCAGAGTTGGTCACGACTGGACCTAATGGTCAGGGGTCCCTTTACCCTTTACCTTTAAGCCTACTGGAATCTATTAAGGTCAGGGATGGATTTTGGTCCTACAGTGCCCTGAGCAAGGGCCAAATCTGGTGCCCTCCCCCTCCTCTTGCCTTCCATTCTGTGCATGCTTTCAAGTGTGCTACATCATAGTTTTGCACCCGCTTGACTTGGTGCCCTGTGCAGGAGAACTGTTTGCACCACCCAAAAGTAAGGCTCCATTAACTGTACCTAGGGGTTGGAGAATGTCACATGGACAAGGAAGAATTGCTGAGATTCCTGCATTGCAGAGGGTTGGACTAGATGACCCTCGGGGTCCCTTCCAACTCTACAATTCTATTATTCTAATTAAACGAGGCATGAGGGGTTCACAAGCCACATTAAGCCAAGGTATGGATTGGCCCACATATGGGCTTCAAATAATTGCCTTTGCAAACATGCTCCGAACTCTATTTGAGGAAAGCAGTTTCTGGGCATTTTGCACAGAAAATACAGCATGCAGGAAAAAGTTTAACTGAACACACATGTGCACACATGCATACATGCAACAGCTGAATTCCAGACCCCAGGTTTTTTGGGGGGTGGGGAAGGGGGCATGTGTTTACAGTTCATGATCACAAATAATCTCCTTCTAAGATGGACATTCTTAATGAAACAACATCTTTTCCATACGTTAGAAACCATGGAGAATATTGTATTACACGAGCCAAAGTTAATTGCTTTAAAAGACGCCCTCAATTCCACAAGAGCATGAAATGGAGAAATTCGGTGGCTTTATTATTTCAGAGTGCCGGAGAGCAGAATTTATGGCAGAGATTTAACAGCAAGACCCGTGAAAGTGAAGTTCCGAGTCCAACATAGAATGTAGTCAGGAGAGGGAGAAGACTGTAAAATATTTATTTCACTCCAGCTATGCAAAAGTCAAAGTAGAGCAAATGAGCTGAAGTGCAGCTAGCTACAGTATTTATAAAATCGTTCAGATTTCTAGGACATTGGTGACCTTAAAAAATAGGTTGTTAAAATAAATGCCCAGAATATTAATGCAACTGCTAAAAGTTTTCATGGGACATACTTGCCCCACTTTGGAATTTTGAGAACTGCTAGTTTCTCATATGCACCTCAGCAGAGCACAGAGATCCTGGCTCTGTGATTTGCCATTTCAATGAGTTAGCCCAGCTGTGAAGAAACATGAAAATCTTCTCATCAAGAAGCTGACTTATTTATTCACGGTGCGCCATACAGTAATATCAGTGCAGCAGCTCCTGGGGGTCAAGCACTTTCGGGCCCCCTCAATATTTTGGGGGTCAGCGCTGGGGGCCCCAGTGTCCGAAAAGTGTGGAAGAGAAGCCATTGAAGTGGCCTAGGACCCACGTACCTGCAGGACCGCCTCTCCTGGTATGCCCCGGGAAGGACCTTAAGGTCCACAAATAACAACATTTTGGAGGTCCCAAGTCGCAAGGTGGATAGATGGGTCTCAACTAGGGCCAGGGCTTTTTCAGTACTGGCCCCGACTTGGTGGAATATTCTGTCACAAGAGACTAGGGCCCTGCGGGACTTGACATCTTTCCGCAGGGCCTGCAAGACAGAGCTGTTCCGCCTGGCCTTTGGTTTGGACTCAGCCTGACCCTTATGTTTCCCTCCCCTTATGGTCTTGATTTATCGGCTACTTTTAAAATGAGGCTGCATTTTAACCTGTATTTTAAATTTCTTTTTCTTTTTCCTTTTCCCCTATTATGTTTTTTACTGTGATTTTATTGGTGTTAACCGCCCTGAGCCCGGCTCTGGGCGGGGAGGGTGGGGTATAAATAAAATTTGTTTTTATTTTTATTATTTTTATTATTATATGACCACCATGTTCTGCTCTGTTTCTGGCTCCTCCCGATTTCCTGGTGTCACATGCACAACGTTGACCCCCCACAATCGCCCTTGCAAGCTGGTGCCTCTGAGTCATATCCGCAATGCCAGAAACCTACCAAAGAATCTTGGGAAATGACATTTGGTGCCCAGATTTGCCATTCTAGGAATGCCAAGCATCTCTTAACGGAACTACAGTCCCCCAAGGAGAGAGAACAAAGATCAAACCCAAAATCTGTGGTGCAGATACGCCCTTAATCTCAGATTTGTTCTTCAGCCACAATCCTACTTGCATTTTCTATGGCTCTTTTACTACACAGCAGCCCAGCCAGCCTCTCCATGTATCTAGGCAGCCAACCAAACAGAGAATGAAAGCGAAGGAGCCAAAAAAACCTTCCCTGAGCAATTAAAAAGTACAATAGGAATGGGTGGAAAAATGCTGGTTCAGAATCAATAGTAAGCAGCCAATTTGGCCCATTGTACAGTAGGAAATGCCTTTTTCAGAAGAAGTGGGATAAAACGCTACCTTCCGTGTGGTTGCCCTGGAATGTGTAATTCCTGTCGGGATTTCATCCGAAAAGGCCTACTCACACAGTGAACTTGCACCTCTCTCTCCCTCTCCTAACCCCCCTCCCCGCCCATTTCCTTGATTTCATTATGAAAGGTTGTGCCGTATGTGTAAAAATAACCCGCCTCCGCTTGCCAAGATCCTCCAATTTTGTAAGCATTTTTAACGCAGAGTCAGAGCAGAAGCCCAGGAGATAGTGCTATTCCCGTAAACTGCTAATGGATCAAAGGGCGTTTTAAAAAGAGACAGCTGAAATGTGCAGGCTGCTTAAAAGTCTTCTGTTATGAGATGATGTACATATGTTTGACCAGGGGAGAGGTAAGCATACTAGAGAGAGCTATTTTTGCACCGAATACATTATGCATTGTGGGCTCCCATCCAGCAAATATTTATGCAAGCACTTAATGGCTAGGATAAGCGCACTCGCAAGAAGGGCCACTCGTTGCGAAACAATGCATGAGCAAAACACAGCTTTCATTCCGGATCGACACGTCTCCGAATTTTGGGGTGTTGTTCTCCCACCCAAAAATGTGGACGCAAGAACGTTCTGACAGCAAGAGCTGTTGAACAGTGGAACGGACTACCTAGGAAAGGGGTGAATGCTTGTTCACTGGAGGTTTTTAAACAGAGGTTGGACGGACGTCTATCAAGGAATCTTTAGCTGTGATTCCTGCATTGCAAAGGGTTGGAAAAGATTAGCCTTAGGGACCCTACCAATTCTGCAATTCTATGTTTCTGTGTAATGCATGCATTGAGGAAAAGTGTGTGTGTGGATATATATGCAAACATAACACACACACACACACACACACACACACACATATACACACAAACACTTGCACAATTGCTTGCAAAAATGTGCATCAAAACCGCAAACAAAAATGTATATTTTAGGGGAAATACGAGCTAAAATTTTCATGGGGACTTTTTTTTTTTTTTAAATGGAAACTGATATGGAAATGGGAATAACAGGCCCTTAGGGCTGGGAAAATGAGAAAGTGAGAACAAGCAAAACTGACAGATTCATTCACCCCTACAAGCAAGCATAATGAGAAAATAATAATATAAGAAGTCTGCTGCATCTGGCCAATGGCCCGTGTAGTCTAGCTTCCTGTTCTCACAGAGGACCAATGCGCCAAGAGTAATGGTGAACACTGAAACGTCATGCTATGTAAGGGCACAATTGACAGAAGCTGTGCTGCCCTAAAAGCATAGATGCTTCTCATGGAGTAAAAGGCTGACAATCATCACTAGCAGTTAATGATGACAATAATAATAATAATAATAATAATAATAATAATAATAATATTGCCCTATACCCGGAGATCTCAGAAATCAGGGATGGAGGACCTGTCGTCCTTAAGGTGTAGCTGGATTCCATCCCTCCTCATTCCTGGTCATTGGCCATGCTGGATGGGGCTGATGGAACCAAAGGCAGTCTTCCAAGCATCTTTATTTGGTCCTCAGGACTCGCTTCCCCTCCAGACACACACCTATGCACCAAGCAATACCCCCACTGCACCATCCTCAAGGGTTTTTGCCTGGCTGGAATGTGCCCTTGAGCTCTGACCATGCCTTTTGCTTCCTTGGCTGAAGGATGAGAAAGCAATGTGTGATTGCATGTAGAAACTAGTCCACTGTGAATAGGTAAAAGTTACATCCATTGCTCTTGCCACCTTTGCGCACTGGCATGTGGCACCTGGAACAGTGCCCACCATGGGGGCAAGCCAGTTAGACGAGCCCCCATCATCAGAGCAGGGTTGAGGGGGAATTTTTGTTCCACTTTGCATTTTAATGGAAACCTTTTGGATTTGGACTTCTGGGGCTGATTTGCCGCATGAAATGAAACTGCCCTTTGGCGGCGGGGGGGGGGGGGATCTGAATTTTCTGATGCGGTTCTTCAAACCCCTGCAAAAAATCTGTATGGAAAACGTGTATATTATGGGAAAGTGAACAGAAAGTTGCTTAAATTGGTGAAAACAATATGCAAAAATACATTAAACGAGAAATATTGCTTCCAAATATGTGTATATTAGGTGAAGTACTTAATTCATTGAAAAAGGTGCAAGGATTTTCCAGGGTGGGTAGATCTTGTGTCTTCCAATACTTTGCAATAAGTATTCTTGCTGCTGTTGTAGCATACATAAAGAAAGTTCTATCCTTCTTTGGCACCAATTGGCCGACCATGCCCAGGAGAAAGGCCTCTGGTTTCTTCAGAAAGGTATATTTAAATACCTTTTTCATTTCATTATAGATCATCTCCCAGAAAGCCTTAATCCTTGGGCACGTCCACCAAAGGTGAAAGAATGTACCTTCAGTTTCTTTACATTTCCAACATTGATTATCAGCAAATGATAGATTTTTGCAAGCTTGACTGGTGTCATGTACCACCTGTATATCATTTTCATAATATTCTCTCTTAAGCCATTACATGCCGTAAACTTCACACCTGTGGTCCATAACTGTTCCCAGTCAGCCATCATTATGTTATGTCCAACATCTTGTGCCCATTTAATCATAGCAGATTTCACCGTTTCATCCTGAGTATTCCATTTCAACAGCAAGTTGTACATCTTTGACAAGGTCTTGGTTTTGGGTTCTAACAGTTCTGTTTCCAATTTTGATTTTTCCACCTGGAAGCCAATTTTCTTCTCCAAATTATATGCCTCCATTATTTGTTAATAATGAAGCCAATCTCGCACTTTATTTTTTAGTTTTTCAAAACTCTGCAATTTCAATCTGTCTCCCTCTTGTTTCAAAATTTCCCAATATTTCGGCCATTTGGCCTCCATATTGAGCTTTTTCTGAGCCTTCGCTTCCATCGGTGACAACCACCTTAGGGTTTTATTTTCAAGTAGGTCCTTATATCTTATCCAGACATTAAACAATGCTTTCCTGACAATATGATTTTTAAATGCTTTATGTGCTTTGACCTTATCATACCACAAATATGCATGCCATCCAAATACATTATTAAAGCCTTCTAAATCCAAAATGTCTGTGTTTTCAAGAAGCAGCCATTCTTTCAGCCAGCAAAAAGCTGCTGATTCATAATAAAGTCTAAGGTCTGGCAGGGCAAATCCACCTCTTTCCTTTGCATCCATTAGTATTTTAAATTTTATTCTAGGCTTCTTGCCCTGCCAGACAAATCTAGAAATATCTCTCTGCCACTTCTTGAAACAATCCATTTTATCCAAAATTTGCAATGTTTGAAACAGAAACAACATTCTAGGCAATACATTCATTTTTATCGCAGCAATACGGCCTAGCAGTGAAAGCTTCAAATTTGACCAGATTTCTAAATCTTTTTTCACTTCAGTCCAGCATTTTTCATAATTGTCTTTAAATAGACTCCCATTTTTAGTTGCCATGTTAATCCCCAGGTATTTCACTTTCTTAACCACTGTTAAACCTGTCTCATTCTGAAACCTCTCTCTCTCAATCTCTGTCAGCGGCGTAGCGTGGGTTGTCAGCACCCGGGGCAAGGCAAGTAATTTGCGCCTCCTAACCCGGGGCAAGGCAAGTAATTTGCGCCCCCTAACCCGGGGCAAGGCAAGTAATTTGCGCCCCCTAACCTCTAACCTGCCACCGCTGCCAGGTTCTTCTCGCTGCTGCCTGGTCTAGTCTGGTGTGGTTCTCTCCCGTGCTCAGCGCTGCGCTGGGTGGCCACTGCACTGTCCCTCCCCCAGATAGTCCCTCGCTCTCTCTCCGCACCGCACGCCTGGCACCCACCCCCTCCACAGTGGGCGGCGACCCATTGGCTCGGATCGGATTCGCACAGCCAGCACTGCAGTGAGAGAGAGTGAGTGAGCCAGGTAGGGGCAGAGAGCTGCGAGTGCGAGCGCCCCCCCAGATGTTGCACCTGGTGCGGCCGGCCACCCTGCAGCCCCACGCTACGCCACTGATCTCTGTTAAATTTTTCTCTAAGACCTTTGTTTTTAACTTATTCAGTTTAAATCCTGCAACCTGACCAAATTCTTGAATCAGTTCCAAAACTCTTTTGGTACTAGATTCTGGCTCCTGTAATGTCAATACTAAGTCATCTGCAAATGCTCTCAATTTGTACTGTTTAGCTCCGACTTGTATACCTTTAACCAATTGGTCCCTTCTAATCATATTCAACAGGACCTCCAGGACCGATACAAAAAGCAATGGGGAGATTGGGCAACCTTGTCGTGTCCCTTTTTCTATCTTGAATTCCTCCGTCACCACGTTATTAACAATTAATTTAGCCTTTTGTTCTGAATAAATTGCACTTATACCGTTTCCAAAGCCTTGACCTACCCCCATCCCCTGTAGATTCTTCTTCATAAAACTCCAAGAAATGTTGTCAAATCCGCATCCACAAATATCAAAACTGCCTTGGTATTAATATTCACTTGTAATTTTTCTAAAATATTGATTATGTTTCTCATTATCAGACAAGTGTCTACCCGGGAGAAAGCCTGCTTGATCTTTATGAATCTCTTCCAGTAACACTTTTTTTAGTCTTTTAGCCAAAATGTCTGCAAAAATTTTATAATCCACATTTAGCAGTGATATGGGGCGGTAGTTCTTAAGCTGCGTCTTTTCAGTCTCTGTTTTCGGTATAAGTGTAATATACGCTTCTTTCCACGACTCTGGTGCCCTTTTCCCATCCATTATTTCATTGCAGACTTCCTTTAAAGGTTGAACTAACCATTCTCTTAAAGATCTGTAGTATCTAGAAGTCAGTCCATCCGGTCCTGGAGATTTACCTAATTGCATATTCTGAATGGCACCTTCTACCTCCTGTTCAGTTATTTTATAGTTCAACATTAATTTATTTTCTTGAGAGATTTTTTGTAATCCATTTATTTTCAAAAATCGGTCTACGTCAATTTCTTTCTGTGGCCCTTGTGTATATAGTTGTTTAAAATAAGGTGTCATTCATCCTCCATCTGAAGGAGCCAGTTGGTGTTAGTTTCATCTCCATCTTCACAGCATTATGGTCGGAGCAGGTTTTTGGACAAATTTCCACTTTTCTTGTTTTTGGTGCCATTCCTCTAGTTACCCATATTTGGTCAATTCTTGTCCATGTCATTTTGGCTTCAGAGAAGAAGGTTCCCTCTCTAGCCAAGGGATTCTTTGTTCTCCAGATATCAACTAAGTCCAAGTTGTCTGTCATCTCAAAAAAGGTTTTCGGTAATCTACCATCCTTAGTAACTACCTGTCTTTGTGCCTTGTCCATATTTGTAGATACCACTCCGTTCATATCTCTCATCAAAATCACATTATAGTCCAAATAGTGCATCAAGGTCTCATGCAACTTTTTAAAGAACTCAGATTTCCCCTCATTTGGTGCGTAAACTCCTACTATTAAAAATTTCTCTCCTTGTATTTGAATTTCAATTGCCACAAATCTTCCTTGGTCATCTTTAAAGATAAATTTCGGTGATAGTCTCTCCTTTGCATAAATCACTACTCCTCTTTTTTTAACTTTGTCCGATGAGATAAACTCCTGACCCAGTCTTTTATTAATCAATACTTTTCTATGTAGCCTCATCACATGTGTTTCCTGTAGACAAATCAAGTCCAATTGTTCCTTTTTTAATAAGTGAAAAACTCTTTTCCTTTTCTGGGGGGAGTTGAGACCATTAGAATTCCAGCTTAATAGTTGCAGAGCCATGATGTAGTTACTTTAGTTTTCCTCCAACTGCACCAAGTGCCTGTTCCTGCTCTGTCGGTGGTATCACCTTCTCTGGGCAGTCCAGTTCCAAAGGTAGTTTTGCTATGTCTAATATTCCTCTTTCTAGTGCTCATAGCTCTTCTCCAGATTCTTGCTGCAGGTCTTCTCCGTGGTCTTTCAGAAATCTTTCTTTGTCGTCCACTGATCTTATTTTTATCTTTCTTCATTTGAAGCTGAAAGATAGGCCTTGGGGAAATTCCCACCTAAAGATGATTCTGTTGCTTCTCAACAGGGCAAAGAAGGACAGGAATTTATTTATGTATGCCACAACAGCAGCAAGAATACTTATTGCAAAGTATTGGAAGACACAAGATCTACCCACCCTGGAAGAATGGCAGATGAAGGTGATGGACTACATGGAACTGGCGGAAATGACTGGCAGAATCTGAGACCAGGGAGAAGAGTCGGTGGAAGAAGATTGGAAGAAATTTAAAGACTATTTACAGAAATACTGCAAAATTAATGAATGTTAGAATGATGTTGGAATGAAGTTAAGTGGTTTTAGCAGCAATGTTACAAAGGAGTATGTAAAAATGGATTGTTAACAGGTGAGAATCTAAAGTTATAATATATTAAGATAAAGGACTAAAATAAAAACAAAGAGGGAAAGGATTTGCTGAATTAACTAACTGAACTGGAATACAAAAAAGGGAGGTGTGAGGAGGTCAGGGAAATAAGTAAATGAAAGACAAGACATGGAAAGATTGATTTGTTTTTAATTGTTTTTACTTTTCTGTATTTTGTATTTTCTTTTTTCTTTTTTTTCCTTTTCTTATTTTTGTAACCCTTTCTGAAACTTTAATAAATATCATTTTAAAAAAAAAGGTGCAAGGATTTTCATATGGGTTTTTTGATTGCTTGACTGCATTTATATCCCTTTTTCTCAGTGTAATAATAATAATAATAATACTTTATTTATACCCCGCCCATCTGGCTGGGTTTCCCCAGCTACTCTGGGTGGCTCCCAACAGAATAGTAAAACCACGATAAAACATCAAACATTTAAAACTTCCCTAAACAGGGCTGCCTTCAGATGTCTTCTAAAATTCAGATAGTTGTTTATTTCTTTGACATCTGATGGGAGGGTGTTCTCTTCTCACAATGAGGGAACCAGCAGAAGGCCCTCAGCACTGGACCTCAGTGTCCGGGCAGAACGATAGGGGTGAAGACACTCCTTCAGATATACTGAGCCAAGGCCAGTGTGGTCTCCACAGTTCTCCCTCTCTTAATTTGAACCCCACAACAACCCTGTGAGGTAGATTAGGCAGTGACTGGCTCAAGGTCAATAGGTGAACTTCATTAACTGAGTGGGGATTTGAACCCAGGTCTCCCAGATCCTAGTCTGACACTCTAAGCACTATGTCACTCTTGCATTTGAGGTTTTGTTCTTAAGAGAGAGAAAAATGTTGCAAATTGATGAAGAAGTGTCTCCACCCCCACCATTCAGCTCGGACACTGAGATCCAGTGCCAAGGTCCTACTGGCAGTTCCTACACTGCGAGAATTGAAGCTACACGGAACCAGGCAGAGGGCCTTCTCAGTAGTGGCGCCCGCCCTGTGGAACACCCTCCCATCAGATGTTAAGGAGCTGAGTAATCATATAACATTTAGAAAACATCTGAAGGCAATAAAGCGAGATGAGTGCCGCAACCCCAGAGTCGTCCGCGACTGGACCTAATTGTCAGGGGTCCCTTTACCTTTATGTGCTGGAAGCTGCCCAGAGTGGCTGGGGAAGGTTAGTGCCTCTGGTGAGTGACACGTCATGCTCCTTCTGGGGTAGTGTGTCCATTTTTTGTCCCCACCCTGCACTCAGCTCTCACCTGTGGCTCCTAGAAGTTGTTGGCATGTGACAGCAGCCATACCCCAGGAAATAGCTTCAACTGGCCAGCTAAACCAGGTGATGGTAGCTGACGGGTTTCAAACCCTTGGTGAGTTAGGGACTTCCTGTGCATGCAAAGTCAGGGTTCAGTGGATTGATCAGATGAGACCAATAGTGGGTCCAACAGTCAAGAAGGTCGTTTTTGCATGTGATGTAGAAGGAAATGATAGGCAGATGAAACGCATTGCACCCAGGAAGGTAGCCCATCTAGAAGGAAAACTCTTGCTCTAAACTTCTCCTGCCTTGCAGGACATCTTCAGGAGAAGAAAAGGCTAAGGAGCAAACCCTACACAAATGCGGAGCAGACTCCCTAAGCCAGCAGCCTGGCATAATGTAAATCTTATTCTGGCATCTCCTGCAGGCAAGCTAGTACCAAACACATTCCTCTGCTTTCCTTTGACCACATCAGCAAGGCTGAGAGGTGGGGGTCTTGTCATCTGGGCAGCCCAGGACCTCCATACACACTGCCCAGGCTTGCACCCTTTGTAAGTGACTTAGATCCTGTGACTTCACCCTTAGAGGTGCACTCTATTGTCTCTTGAGACAGAGGGATGCCAACAAATTTAGAGATGGCTCTGTTGGATGCTGTGCAGTTTAATGCTAAAAGAAAAAAAGAAAAACCCACCGCATTCATCTTTGATTAAAGAAGCTGGCCATAGCAATTGCATCAGCAGAGCTAGGGTATTTCTTGAGCAATCGCACCATTCTGACAGCTTGCTCAGAATCGTGCGAAAAATTGCCCATTCATTCCAAGGGAAATTGTTCAGCTCCAGATTTAGGAAGGGATCAAGGTTTAGTGAATTATCGTTGCTTGCCTGTGGCCCGCGTTTCGTTCAAGAGAGAAGTAAGAACATCTGTCCACTTCCCAAGATCATTACACCTATCCCCTCTCTTAATTCAGAACAGCTGTTAAACAAATACATACACCGCACACATGCAGAACAGAGACCCGAGTTCCTGTTGAAATAATAGTCTTCCTGATGAAAGATTAGAGCAGTGCATTTAAAGACTCAGAACATGCATTTCTCATAATAATAATAATAATTATTATTATTATTATTATTATTATTATTTATTATTTATACCCCACCCATCTGGCTGAGTTTCCCCAGCCACTCTGGGCGGCTCTCAATCGGTGTTAAAAACAGTACAGCGTTACATATTCAAAACTTCCCTGAACAGGGCTGCCTTAAGATGTCTTCTGAATGTCAGGTAATTATTTATCTCTTTGACATCTGATGGGAGGGCGTTCCACAGGGCGGGCGCCACTACCGAGAAGGCCCTCTGTCTGGTTCCCTGTAGCCTCACTTCTAGCAATGAGGGAACCGCCAGAAGGCCCTCGGCGCTGGATCTCAGTGTCTCGGCTGAACGATGGGGGTGGAGACGCTCCTTCAGGTATACAGGACCGAGGCCGTTTAGGGCTTTAAAGGTCAGCACCAACACTTTGAATCGTGCTCGGAAACGTACTGGGAGCCAATGCAGATCTCTCAGAACTGGTGTTATGTGGTCCCAGCGGCCACTCCCAGTCACCAGTCTAGCTGCCGAATTCTGGATTAATTGCAGTTTCCGGGTCACCTTCAAAGGTAGCTCCACGTAGAGCGCGTTGCAGTAGTCCAAGCGTGAGATAACTAGAGCATGCACCACTCTGGCGAGACAGTTCGCGGGCAGGTAGGGTCTTAGCCTGCGTACCAGGTGGAGCTGGTAGACAGCTGCCCTGGACACAGAGTTAACCTGCGCCTCCATGGACAGCTGTGAGTCCAAAATGACTCCCAGGCTGCGCACCTGGTCCTTCAGGGGCACAGTTACCCCATTCAAGACCAGGGAATCCCCCACACCAACCCGCTCCCTGTCCCCCAAAAACAGTACTTCTGTCTTGTCAGGATTCAACCTCAATCTGTTAGCCGCCATCCATCCTCCAACCGCCTCCAGGCACTCACACAGGACCTTCACCGCCTTCACTGGTTCTGATTTAAAAGAGAGGTAGAGCTGGGTGTCATCTGCATACTGATGAACACCCTGTCCAAACCCCCTGATGATCTCTCCCAGCGGCTTCATATAGATATTAAAAAGCATGGGGGAGAGGACAGAACCCTGAGGCACCCCACAAGTGAGAGCCCAGGGGTCTGAACACTCATCCCCCCACTACCACTTTCTGGACACGGCCCAGGAGGAAGGAGCGGAACCAGTGTATGACAGTGCTCCCAGCTCCCAGCCCCTCTAGACGGTCCAGAAGGATGTTATGGTCGATGGTGTCAAAGGCCGCTGAGAGATCCAGCAGAACTAGGAAACAGCTCTCACCTTTGTCCCTAGCCCACTGGAGATCATCAACCAGCGCGACCAAGGCAGTTTCAGTCCCATGGTGAGGCCTGAATCCCGATTGGAAGGGATCCAAATGGTCCGTTTCCTCCAGGCGTGCTTGGAGTTGTTCAGCAACCACCCGCTCAATCACCTTGCCCAAGAATGGCAGATTTGAGACTGGGCGATAGTTGGCCAAATTGGCCGGGTCTAAAGATGTTTTTTAAGAAGCGGTTTAATGACCGCCTCTTTCAGCGGGTCTGGGAAGGCTCCCTCACAGAGGGAAGCATTCACCACCCCGCAGAGCCCATCGCCCAGCCCTTCCCGGCTCGCTTTTATCAGCCAGGATGGGCAAGGATCAAGGAGACAGGTGGTCGGTTTCACTTGTCCAAGCAGCCTGTCCACATCCTCGGAGGTAACAGATTGGAATTGATCCCATGTAACAGGACCAGACAGAACTCTAGCACTCTCCCGCCCTGGCCCTGCTCCCACGGTGGAGTCTACCTCCTTCTGAATCTGAGCGATTTTATCTGCAAAAAACTTTGCAAAAGCATTGCAGGAGATCTTGGGGTCCCTACCAGGCCCCGGTGGTACAGGTGGTTCTGATAGATTGCGAACCACCTGAAAAAGTCTCCTGCTGCTGTTTTCTGCAGATGCAATGGAGGCGGCGAAGAAGGCCCTCTTCGCCGTCGCCATTGCCACTTGGTAGGCTCAACGTTGAGCTCTAACCCGTGTCCGGTCTTATTCAGAATGAGTTTTCTGCCACCGGCGCTCTAGCCGTCTCAACGATTGTTTCATCACCCTCAGCTCCGGGGAAAACCATGGGGCTGTCCGGGCTCCATGCAATCGGAGAGGGCGCTTCGGAGCCAGACAGTCAATAGCCCTGGTTAACTCCGCATTCCAGCGTGCCACCAGGGAATCAGCTGAAAGGCCATCAACTTGGGATAAAGCATCCCCTACCACTCTCTGGAAGCCAATTGGATCCATTAAGTGGCGGGGGCGGACCATCCGAATCAGTCCCACCTCCCTGCAGAGGGGAAGGGTTGCGGAGAAGTCCAGTTGCACCAGGAAGTGATCTGACCATGGCACTTCTTTTGTTTCGCTTTTAGTTAGTGTCAGATCACCAACATCCATAGAGGTGAACACCAAGTCTAAGGCATGTCCACGGCTATGAGTTGGGCCAAACTCATGCCATGTTTGAGGTTGCAACTGGGGGAGTAATAACTAATGTTGTGCGCACACACACACCCCACACCAATCTGGCCTGGGAACCCACCTTGGGCCAAGCCAAGAATGCCCTGGGTCTAGTCCTGAATTAGTTCAGGGGCGGAGCTAATGTTTAATTAGGTTTAAAAAAGAGAACACAAAACCCTAATTAATTATATGGTCAGGAGGGGCACAGGGGAAGGAAATTGGGGAGGGGGGGTTCGATTCTGCAGGATGCTGTTTTGCAAGCAGCTTCTGTGCAGAGAAGGTGCACATGCGAATGAGAAGCCTGAACATTGCAGGATTGGTGCTTCTGTGCAACAGCTGTTTCTCAGGGACCTGGATCCTGTGGAGCACTGCTTCACAAAGGAGCACCCCACATCCCATAGGATCGATTTCCCTGCTCAACAGCTGTGGCACAGAGGTGACAATTCTACAGGAGCTGGGTATCCGCAGGAAGGAGAGTCTGATGGTGTTGGAGTGGAAGGACATCAGGTTGGAAAGAATTGTCCATAACTGAAGGCACACCTGTACTCCCAGGAAGCTACAGCCAGCTGTCAGGTGGGTCTAGGCCTTTTTGTGGGTTTTTCTGCCTGATGGCCCACCCTCTGGCAGCTCAGGATCACTCTGGTCCACCTACCCCATGGAGATCTGGAGCTGTCTCAGCCCAACTCAAATCAACACCCAGATGCCCTTGAATTGGCTCAGTTCGGTTTGGAGATCAGCCAAATCTGGTGCACATCGCTCCTAATACCCACATTTATTGAAAGTGAGATTTGTAACAAAATGTTACAGTATAAGCTATTTCTATTCAGCTATGCCCTCTTTCCCCCCCCCCCCACACACTATGGATTTCCCTTTCTGCAATCCCTCCCAAGGAATATCTATAGTTAATAAAATGTGTTGGAAGGCTCACAGCTGAATCAATTTCAAGTAGCATATTGTGGATTAAGGTTTCTCAGCCACTTTGGAGTTCTGTAGGTAACTCACTTGGACCATCTTGGTAGGCCTCAAAATGTAGGTCAGTTATAATATGGCTGAAGAACCGTGTTGTCCTAGTTCAGGATGAACCAGGATGGTTAGACCAGACCTTTGTAAGACAATGGCTGTAACTGACTGATGAAGCACCACCATTTACGTGTCCAAAGAGTGGGTTCTGTTGCCATAGAGATAAATAGATGGGCCTTTTCTCATTTCACTCATCTGCATGCCACATCATCCTAGGATGGAGAATAATCAGCTAAGGTAGGCTATATGTGTGTCGTTTTTGGCTGATGCTGGAAGCTGGAGAGACAGAGGCATATCTTGCTCGGTGCTCGACCCAAAGATGTGACTTCAGACTGCATTGGAATCTTAATGGGGAACCAAGATGTACTGGAGTGTTAATGCACAAGATGCTCAGGCTGTATATACAATGGAACCTTGGTTGCTGAATGGCTCAGTTGTTGAATAAATCGGCTCCCGAATGCCACAAACCCATAAGTAGGTGTTCTGGTTTGTGAATGTTTTTCGGAAGCCGAACGTCTAATGCGGCTTTTGCTTGAGTGCAGGAAGCTCCTGAAGCCAATTGGAAGCCGTGCCTTGGTTTTTGAACAGTCACAGGAGTGGAACGGACTCCTGGAATGGATTAAGTTCAAGAGCCAAGATCAGTGGCAAGGGAAATTGATGGATTATGCAGAAGTGGCCAAATTGTCGTACAAATTGCATGACAAGGACAACTGTGACTTCAAAGAGGAATGGGAACCTTTCACAAATTACTTAAAAAAAACCCACCAAAATGAACTGGACTCCTTGGCAGGTTTTGAATAAACATACACAAATTTATTGTTGTTAAAATAATAGATAGATAGATAGATAGATAGATAGATAGATAGATAGATAGATGATAGATAGATAGATAGATAGATATTTGGAGGAAAAATGGGGGGAAATATAATGAAGATGATTTGTTATGTGTAAACATTCAATAAAAAAATTATAAATTCATTTAAAAATATATTTTAAAAGTTCGAGAGCCAAGGTACCAATGTATATGTAAATAAAACCATATATCCTAAAGACACTGCAGTCTCTGCTGACCTTCATACTAAGGAACCTGGATAGCTTGGTTGGTTAGAGCGTAGTTCTGATAATGCCAAGGTTGCAGGTTAGATTCCTGTATTGGAAAGCTGCATATTCCTGCATTGCAGGGGGTTGGACCAGATGATCCTCAGGGTCCCTTCCAACTCCTTAATTCCATGATTCTCTTATTCTAACCCTGGGTGATTGCTGGGACCCCTGGAGTCTCTCACCGCTCAGAGATTGGGGTGCAACAATATATGTGAAACACCACAGGTTACAGGGAAGAAAGAAGGGCAAAAACCTAGGATGGGGACAAGGCCATGGATAGCTTCGAAAGCAAGGACAAATATGTTGGCAGGCTGCTCTTTCGTCCAGCCTTTGGCATGACTTTGGCTTTGCATAGCTCTTTGCAACTTTCTTCCATAAATGAGGCTGTGCCCATCAAGCCATGTTACCCTTTTTGGGGTTGCTCTCGTAAAAATTCCCCTGTCCATTGACCAGAGATGCATGGCATCCTGTTCTCCGGGCTCTCTAAATACTCACGGACGTTTATGAGCAAATAGCTATATCGCATCGTGGTCGTCATCGTGCAAGCTGACATACCTGGACAAGAAGGGCATTCGTCTGCAGCGGAAAGCAGCACGAATCCAGCATTGCAAGCCTTAGCTCCATGGACCTCATCTCAATAAACCTTAAAGACTGCGAGCAAAGTTCAAATATAGCAAAACACCTGCTTTTACGCAGGAGTGCAGAACTTTGAGGCTGAATGTGGCTCTCTGTCTGGTTCCCAGGAGACAACGCCCGTGTGCCTGAACCACACCCCTCACTCTGTGCCCTCCTTGAGAGCTTTTGCCTGGCTGGAATATGTCAATGCCTCTTACTTTCCTGGACAGAAGGTGAAGAGGTGTGTGTATGTGTGTCAAAACTTGTGTGTTTTAGTCTGGATGGCATGTCAAACTGGTCTGCCCACTTTTGCCTAGGTCCCCAACTCACAACATAGCATGTGGCCTCTGGAATGCACCTTTTATGGAATGAAGCTTTCAGGCTGAGAATGATTCCTTCTCCAGGCTCAAATTGGACCTTCCGGGTTAATCAAAGCTGAAATACGTCATAAAGGACTGTTCATCTTTCCTCCAAGATAATCCAGATCGATTCTAAGAAAGCACAATATTTATTGATGAAATTAGTTCTGCCTTTATCTGCTGAGTTTTGTAAGTTCGGCCGCAATCGGTATCTAGCAAACGGAATTTATTTTGTACAGTTTCTGTTGACCTTTTCCAGGGGTCAGCAAACCTTTTCAGCAGGGGGCCGGTCCACTGTCCCTCAGATCTTGTGGGGGGCTGGACTATATTTTAGAAAAAAAATAATGAATGGATTCCTATTCCCTGCAAATAACCCAGAGATGCATTTTAAATAAAAGGACACATTCTACTCATGTAAAAACACGCTGATTCCCGGACCGTCTGCAGGCCGGATTTAGAAGTCGATTGGGCCAGATCCAGCCCCCGGGCCTTAGTTTCCCCACCCATGACCTATTTAAACCCCTCCCCTCAAAAAACTTTTATGCAACAGTATGTCTCAAGATCATTATGCAGCTACAAATACTTTATAATGTTTTGGGTGGATGTTGGTGGATGTTAGCCTTTATGTGACAGGGGTGTGCTACTCAAAGTGATCCAAAGGCAAAAAAGGGTGCAAATGAAGAAACAAACTTCAGTTCTCAATACACTCGGTGAACAAAGGAATTAGTATTTGAGTGTGTATTGGGAAGGGGGTTGAAATAGAGGAAGTTGAATGCAATGATGTATCATGGATGATAGCATGACTGGCAGACTAGAACTCTGAGCAAGAGCATTCTGTCCTGCAACATTTTGTTGCAGCTCCCAGTGATCATACAGGAGTAGGGTTGCCATATTTCAAAAAGTGGAAATCCGGACACAGTATCCCGGGTATGTCTGGGAAATTCCAGACATATGGCAACCATATACGGGAGCTCTCTGCTACATTTGCTTTTGGGCTTCCCAACCAGTGCACATCCAGTACATGCCCAGGGAAGCAAACAAGACTTCCAAAAGCATCTTTGCAAAGCTTTGCTGGTGGTCTTTTTAAGATCATACAATCAGAGAGCTGGAAGGGGTTCCTGGGGGTCATCTAGTCTAACCCCCCTGCAATGCAGGAATCTCAGCCACCAAATTAGAACCCATACTGGCCCCTGCTTAGCTTTGCAAATGGGCTAGTGGTTTTATTGCTGCACCACTGATATCTCCCCAGCTCAGATGTTAAGTACTTCCATTGTAGCTTTCATTCCTATTATTTTGCTGTTTCAGCAGAGCCTAAAGTAGAAATTCAATGTGTGTGCTAATCCAGGGAGCATGCTGAGACAGCATGGAATGCTATCCTTGAGCAGGGAGGGGAGACAGAGAATCTCCAATACCGCAGAGATATTGGTCTGAATGCCTAAGCCTCCTCTAGGCAATTTCAGTGTGACTCACACCTTTCCATTGGCCGGTAAGGACACACGCTAGAGGTGGCTTGAGTAGATTACATAGTGCTTGGGGGGACCAAAACAGTGCTCTTTCCACAGCGTCACATACAAATCTCAGAGAAATGCAAGGAAGCAAGAAAAGAAGGCAGCCTTTCCAAGATGGCCAGGATTTATTTTTATTTTTTAAAATGATATTTATTAAAATTTCAGAGAGAGAAAAAAATACACAAAAACAAAAAATAAAAATACCAGAAAAATACAAAATACAG